ATCAATTAAATGATAAGGGAATCAGTTATGAAGAATATGACTAGCTGTGCCCTCTCTGATTCAGAATGGAATGAGCCCAAAATCTCCAGACCTTTTGGTCTTTTTGAGTGACTAAACCTTGGATCATAAGATATAAAGAAGACAAGAGTGCCATTACTAATAATTGGAGCGCTCTCCNTGTGCAATTTGTTTTTAACCAATACGGTAACAGCAAGATTGTGCATGTGTCTTTGTAGAAGGAAGATCAATTTCCAGGTGCTAAAGTGCATTTGGAACATAGCAAGGGACTTCAAATACTGCTATTAAAATATACTCTGAATTACTTTTAATGGTCTCAAAACTGCACTCTTTGCTTTTAAAGAGTTTTACTTTTTTCAGTCACACATTTATTGCCTGTGGGGCTGGCACATTGAGCTATTGCATTGCTCCTTTTTTTGTGCATACACTAATGTCCTTTACTCTGGCAATTTCATGTTAAGGAAGATAACTCCTAAGTATTTAAAATCTTTCCCTTTTCATTTGTTCACTTGTTCAGTGATGATAAGGAATATATTCCAATTATCTATGCAGCTGCTGTCTTTGATAGTAATATTGTAAAAAAATTAACAATATTAATTTTGGTATAATTGATATCTAATTTTTCTTTTAACATAGGCTGACCTGGAATAAAGATAAAATAATTGAATCTTCAGCATAGGAAAGGATGGATGTAGGGTTATTCATCAGCATTGGAGGATAGATTTCATGTTTGATCAAATGTGTGTGACAGAATTAATATAAACAAAGAATGAGGAAGACAAGTATACATCCCTGCCTGCCTCATTACTTGTCAGGTATCAGATCAGATATGCATATTTGATCACACACCTACATGTACACACACACACACATAAGTGTGATATTATGTATATTAGATCATATGATCTGATATAGATATCAGATAACACCTTCATTGATCTGATTCTCTACCAAAGGGAAAGTATGGACTATGTCAGATATTTTAGATAAGCTACAGATTATTAGGACTAATACTTACATGCAAGTCAACTATACTTATCCAATATATGATCTGATATAGATATAATAATATCAGATCAGATGGTGGATAAGTATAGTTGACTTGTATGTATGTATTAGTCCTAATAATCTGTAGCTTATCTTTTTTTATATATAATCTGTAGCTTATCTAAAATATCTGACATAGTCCATACTTTCCTTTGGTAGAGAATCAGATCAATGAAGGTGTTATAGAGAGAATGCTGAGGTTAGTTTATAATATCCATTTTGCCAGATCTGGACTGCCAAATGTATTATAGACTATGGATAGTGAAGTCTTGACTGTCTATTCCATTTCTAAATCTGGCATATTCTACAGTGAGCACATTCATTTGTGTCATCTAGTTCAAAATTTCCCATGTGAGTGGTTGGCATAAAGCTTACAAATGATACTTAAAATAGTAATTGGTTGACAATTGATCAAATCACTCTTGGCCTTTATTGTAGGTTCAGAGATGGCAATAGATCCAGACAACATATTGTGTTAAATTACAAGAGTGAGGAGAACATCTCAGTGCATTACACAACAAAGCACTTTCTAACATTACCGTATTGTCTGCAGTATTCTTTAATTCTAAATGTTTTCTAATTCTTAAGTTCTTAAATGTTACTCATACTACTTCCTTGACTTTGTTGTCTCCTCTTACCTTTTTTTCTTTGTGTTTTATTCTTATTCCTCAGCTCTTCTCTATTTTGAGATTAAAATAGACCTAATTTATTTTGATTATTCATGTTTGTAACTATTTCTGATTCTCACGTTCTTTGGTGAGTTATATTTTCAATGTGGACTGCTATCTCTTAATCCTATAATGCATTTGTTTGATTCATTTCCATTCATTCCCTTTTTTTCTTTCCTCCCCACCATACCTATTTTAAAGTCTTGAGAATCTGAAATAGCTCTGGAGTCTAGTAGAATAAAAAAGGGGAAATACAACAATCAATGTAGCTGCCAAAGCATCAAATGGAAAAGGAAACACTGAGAAGCATATGGAGAATAGAATAGAATAGGATAGAATAGAATAGAATAGAATAGAACTGGAAGGGACCTTGGAGGTCTACTAATCCAGCCCCCTGCTCAAGCAGGAGAACCTATACCATTTTAAACAAATGGTTGTCCAGTCTCTTCTTAAAAATGCTTCAACACTGGAAGTTTTTAAGAAGAGACTGGACAATCATTTGTCTCAAATGGTATAGATTCTTCTGCTTGAGCAGGGGGCTGGACTAGAAGACATCCAAGATCCTTTGCAACTTCTATTCTATTCTATTCTATTCTATTCTATTCTATTCTATTCTATTCTATTCTATTCTATTCTATTCTATTCTCCTCAGTGTTTCCTTTTCCATTTGATGTTTTGGCAGCTACATTGATTGTTGTATTTCCCATTTTTTATGCTAATAGACTCCAAAGCTATTTCGGATTCTCAAGACTTAAAATAGTATGGTGGGGAGGAAATACTAGAAAAGCATATTCTTATGTTCTAAGGCAGGGGTTTTCAAACTTGGCCCTTTTATGACTTGTGGACTTCAACTCCCAGAATTCCTCAGCAAGCATGCCTGGCTGAGGAATTCTGGGAGTTGAAGTCCACAAGTCATAAAAGGGCCAAGTTTGAAGACCCCTGTTCTAAGGAATGTCAGCACCTGAGTGGCCTCTACATGAACAATAACAAGTGCTCCTATGAAAAGCCAGTTCCTGGGCTATTTTCTGCAGCTTTTTGTCTGCCCTGGAAAGGAGTCCTTCTTTCAGCACTGCTCACTATTCCAGAACTTGGCTTCCCTGCAGTCAGTTGGGGTTCCACTCTCCTGGACTTGCACCCTGTCTCACAGCTGTGCTTTGGACTTTCTCCAGTTGCTTTTGGCGGATTCTTGAGCTACATCTTGTGGTTCTGGCTGTCATAGCCACTGTCTCTTCTTTGCTGCTCCTGCCATCTTTCTTCCTCTATATTACTTCTATTTCCACTTTCACACTCATCTTCACCTCTTCTTCTGTTGTCATGGTGGGTTATTTTGAGTTCCTTAAGTCCTTCAATCTCTAGATCAGGCATGTCAAACTCGCGATGTCACGTGATGTCGCGCGACGTATCGGAGCTTTTTTGCCATTGCCGGCAATGGGGTGGGCGCGGCTTCGGTATGATGAAACTGGCCCGCGGGCCGGCAGTTTGATACCTCTGCTCTAGATAGTCTCCCAGACCTTCCATAATTGTTCTTTCATACCTTCCCCAAGGTTATATTTTTATTTCTTTACAATAAATGTTTACTTTTGCATCTGAAAGAAATACTCCATTTGAGTAAATAAGGTTGCCAGGACAGAATCCCACCAATCCAGGTTTGATTTTATGCATTGAGCCAACATCTAGTTTTCTCCACCCCTTGTTGCTTTATCATTGTTTAGTTGCCTTACCTGCCTTTAGTTGTAGGTAAATATGTGATAAAGAAACTTGGATCACTGGGAGGACTGAAACAGGAAAAGTTGAGGTTAAAAGTGTTTACCCATGCCTCCAGTGTAATTAGCTTCTAGAATTTTAATTTTAAACTTTTACAGTTTGGTCTAGCTTATTCCAACTGGCCATATCCATCTCTTCTTTTCCTTTATCAGGTAAGACTTGGTAGATTTTCTTTCACATATCATTACTCCAATACTAGCGTCCAATATTATTTTTAATATATATACTTTTATTGATTTTCAAAAAAATCAATATATATATATATACTTTTATTGATTTTCAAAAAAAGTACAAAGTTAAAAGCTGAGCAAACAGAAAAGGAAGATTTGAAAAAAAGAAAAAGCTCAAAGGAAAAAAGAGTAAAGCGTGAAAAAGAAACAGGAAGAAAGAAAAAATAGAAAAAGAATGACTTCTGACTTTCTTTAGTACTTATGAATAAAAAATACATCAGACTCATAAGCTAAAATTATCATTTGTCTACATTATTTCCATAGTTCCCTATAATTCTAATAATCAAATCCCCAAAATTGACTTTTCATTTTTTTCAGTTTCTTTCCAACAGTCCAAAAATGATTTCCAAGTAGAAAGAAAAATTGTCAATGTCTTTTCTTTCATCAAAGTTTCAATTTTGCCGTCTTCATCAATTTCACCAGCTTCACTATCTATTCTTCCATTGTAGGTATTTGTAAGTCTCCCAGCTTTGAGCATATGAAAGTCTCACTGCCATTATCATATATAAAAACAAAGTTCCATAATATATTTCCATTTGTTTGTCCATTATATCCAATATTAATTTGGAAGGGTAAATGAACTTAAGTTAATTAACTTTTTGCATCCCACACATAAACAATCAAATAAATAAACCAACACTTAGGTTTAAGTATTAGGTTTAAATTGGATTCTAGTATAATTATTTGATTCTTTATCCACTGTTAGTTCTTAGATAGCTACTGATAACTTGTTAGCATTTGTTTAATTCTTTTCCATATTTCACATGATTTTTTTCAGTAAGGCAGCTTTAGGAAAACTAGTACACTGAGTTGCACCTTTCTGTGATTCACTAGACCATCCAAACTAGAGTAACTGTGGCCAAGTAGCACAATTTGGATTATTTATATCTGGACTGCAAGTCTAAAGTGGTTTTGCAGTAACTTGGGAATGATTGCTGTCAGCGGGAAACTCAATCATAAAGTCTACATTGCTGATTAATAGTAGAAATATTATCATGCAGATGATAATAATTACTTCAGAAGGTTTTCTTTTGGTTTCTCCCCAAAAACTGATCCATTTAAAATAAGATAGTTTCTCTCTCCCTGGGCAGGATTTGACATTAGTTCCTCCAACCCTATAGTTTTATGTTTTTAAACTGTTTTATACCGCTATTCCTTGTTCATAGGTATACTCTTTTTATCTTTGCCAGCTTTGATAGAGTGGATATATTATTATTATATCTGCTATACTCCTGTTGTATATTGCTGAGCTTAAAAATCAGAAATAGGGAAAATGAAGAAAAAAAAATCAAGAATAGGTTTCAAGCACGCAAGTCATAGGAAAGCACTTAAACAGCTTAAAATAGTGGATCTGCTGTCACTGAAAGGAGGTTTAACTATAAGTGATGATATTTTTCTACTAAGTGATCAATTTGAACTACTGAACAAGGTGAGTGTACGAGGATGAGTACTAACACTTACCCAACTTCTGATTAAAGATTCCACTTCAAAGGAAACTCAAGCAGGGGCAAGATTCACAAACAATAATTCAAACTGTGTTAAGTTTGAATTTTCACCTGGATTTGTTGGCAAAAAGGTGTACTGTATATTATAGAGCAGTGGTGGCGAACCTATGGCACGGGTGCCAGAGGCGGCACTCGGAGCCCTCTCTGTGGGCACATGTGCCGTTGCCCCAGCCTCGCCTCCCCCTGCGGCCCCCTCTTCACCAGCAGCCCCCCTGGAGGAGAGTTGCCCCCGAGCGTGGCCCACGCAGAGCAGCACAGCCAAGGACATGGCAACCAGGCAAGCGTAGACAAGACTCTGCCCTCACGCCCCATCGTGCACAGTTGATGCTGTGGGGCACGGACAGAAAGTGTGGCCGCCATGGCGCTGCTGGGCTGCCTGGGCGATCTGCGGCGGGCCCTGGAGGTGGTGAGTGGCCTTGCGGGCAAGTGGGGTGGGGCTGGAGCGGGGCCAGTTTTGGGGCACTTCGTCTCTAAAAGGTTCGCCATCACTGTTATAGAGACTGTGTGATTACTTTTTTTTAAAAAAAAAAAAGTTATTGGACATTAAGGAGAAGCTGGACAAACTTCCCCATTCTCTGGTTAGACCTTTGGATGGTCAGATTGGTAAAGAGGCTGAAAAAAACTTCTAGAACAGATTTTAAAGTTCAGATTGACAAAATTAGCATGCCGAATGTTTGATGGTTAAAGCAGACAGAGATCAGATAGCTTCTCCATAACAAGACTTCCCCTCCAATATTTTGTGCATATAAATCAAGCATAGATTGAATTACAGTCAGAAGGTGTTGTTTTTTTTCTTTTTACCACCCTGTAATCCCTTTTATTGGGATGGAGCTGGGGTGACTGAATGGAGCTGAGCATTTACTGGCCAGATGCTCACCCTGATGCCTATGCTGAGTTCGCAGTAGATATTTTTTTTTCTTTGCCCCCTGATAGAGAAACCTCTGTTGGTGCCTAGGGTTGAATTCTCAACCCCCCAAATGTGAGGTGAACGTCTTCATCTCTATGCCACCATGCCGTTCAATTACAATCAGAAGTTAATTTTCTTAAATTGTACTAGATTCTAATGTTTTACTAGAAACAAATGGAAATCAGCACTTACACCTTTTAAAGCAGGGGTCTTCAAACTTAGTCCTTTTATGACTTGTGGACTTCAACTCTCAGAATTCCTCAGCCAGCGTGCCTGTTTTAAAGTATAACATGTTGAATGATTGATTCCATATGATTTTCTTGAGACATATAATTCTGGGCCTTTTATCTTTCTCCCCAAGACCCACCTCTGTCCCCACAATTATGACAGGCATGTGATAATCTTAGCTTCAACCAGTCAATGATGGGAAGCAGTGATACTAGTGAAATTGATAAGGGGTCCTAACAGTTACCAGATATTGTTAATATATACAGTTAAAATGCATGATACCTGAGGATGAAAGACCCTTAAGTTGAATACTTATAATTCATATTGCTGAGTATATGGGCAAAAGGATGTATTTACACTTTATTTTCAAGTAGTTGAATTTCCTTATTATTATCTTAGCTAGCTAAGATCCTTAATCTTAGTTATTAATGTGGATTTAGGGTGATATTATTTATTATTAATTAATGTCTTCTATCCATCCTATAAATATATCCCTGTCAGGATATATTTGAGGAGTGTGTGCTGGGCTTGATATTAAAATATAGAGAATCTGACTTAATTCTGTTGGGTGATTTTAACAGACTCTATATGCCTATTTTAATCATTTGTATTTTCTGATCAATAGATCATTCCACTGCATCAATTAAATGATAAGGGAATCAGTTATGAAGAATATGACTAGCTGTGCCCTCTCTGATTCAGAATGGAATGAGCCCAAAATCTCCAGACCTTTTGGTCTTTTTGAGTGACTAAACCTTGGATCATAAGATATAAAGAAGACAAGAGTGCCATTACTAATAATTGGAGCGCTCTCCNAAGACAGCTTTATTCTTATCACATAAACTGTACTTTCCTTGGATTTATATGATGGGGTTGTGCATAGCAGATTTCCTATGGTTAATTGCTATAGAATAAAAATCAGAAAGAGTGTTCTATATGCTTCATCGCCAAAGAAGATTAGTAATTCCAAATGTTCCCACTTAAAAAGTACCCTAATAGCACCTCTTAAAACTTGACTAATTCATTTAAATGCTTTTTGTTGAAATAATGCTCGCCCATGTACAGTCAGATTTCAAGCCTCCTTTAGAATTTTTGAATTAGGATTAAGAATTTAAATACGTACATGTCATTACATCAATAGGTATTGTTAATATGTACAATTAAAATTTATTTCTTTTTAAAAGAGACACCTGCTTGTGCATTCTAAAGGGCACATTGTAAACTTGCCACAATTATCTGATAATAATTAATGCAAGCTCTAGGCAGCACCCACCTTGTTAAACTTTCTTTTTTTAAGTTATCACCACTTAGTCTAATACGTTGGTTCTTTTTCTTCCTACAAAAGGATAGGGAACTTCAGTAATGTGGTTAACTTAAGGCGAGACTGAATCTGAGGCAATAATGTAGCCTCCATTTTTGCAGTCTGCAGTTTAAATCAGCACAGGATAAAGAGTTTAGTGAACAACAAGCCTATGTAATCTACTTTTAAACCATTTGGGGAATCCTGGGCCTAATTATTATTGAATAATTCTACTTCAATCAGAAATGTATGTCTCTGTTTCAAAAAAATGTAAGCTTTTTTTTAATATAAAAAAGCTATTCTCCTCCTTGTATAAACAAATTATTATCATACCATTATTATTTTTTTGTTTTTATTTGCAGTTTTTTCCTGAGTGTTAGTTGAAATGTAAAACCAGCCACTGTGAAGCAATTTACCCTTAAATCTGAGAAAAGAATAAACATTTAAATTACTTCACATTGACTTGATATCTCTCAATACAATTAATTTATGTTAGGTTAGTCTTGTTTTATTATCTATGATAATGTGATGAGCTTTCATTTTACATTTTCAATATGGAGTGAAAATTCTCATTGGGACAATGAATTTAGAATTGGGTTGAATATTTATGTAAGGAAAGTGAAGGTTAGGAACTTTGTATATTTTGTCATATCTAGTTTTATACATGTACTGATGCCTTATATATTTGCTTGCTCAGGGCTTTTTTTCTCAGAGAAAAGGTGGCGGAACTCAAACCTGGCCACGCCCTCATCAAACCCTAGGACCGCCCCTTTAGAGAACAGGAATGCAAGTAAAATTTGGGAGGGGCTATTTCCGGTGCGGGAGGGGCTATTTCCGGTGCGGCCGGCCCGGAAAAAGGTGCCGGAACGCGGTTCCGCCGCGTTCCGGCTGNAAGACAGCTTTATTCTTATCACATAAACTGTACTTTCCTTGGATTTATATGATGGGGTTGTGCATAGCAGATTTCCTATGGTTAATTGCTATAGAATAAAAATCAGAAAGAGTGTTCTATATGCTTCATCGCCAAAGAAGATTAGTAATTCCAAATGTTCCCACTTAAAAAGTACCCTAATAGCACCTCTTAAAACTTGGCTAATTCATTTAAATGCTTTTTGTTGAAATAATGCTCGCCCATGTACAGTCAGATTTCAAGCCTCCTTTAGAATTTTTGAATTAGGATTAAGAAATAACATGTTTTAAATACGTACATGTCATTACATCAATAGGTATTGTTAATATATACAATTAAAATTTATTTCTTTTTAAAAGAGACACCTGCTTGTGCATTCTAAAGGGCACATTGTAAACTTGCCACAATTATCTGATAATAATTAATGCAAGCTCTAGGCAGCACCCACCTTGTTAAACTTTCTTTTTTTAAGTTATCACCACTTAGTCTAATACATTGGTTCTTTTTCTTCCTACAAAAGGATAGGGAACTTCAGTAATGTGGTTAACTTAAGGCGAGACTGAATCTGAGGCAATAATGTAGCCTCCATTTTTGCAGTCTGCAGTTTAAATCAGCACAGGATAAAGAGTTTAGTGAACAACAAGCCTATGTAATCTACTTTTAAACCATTTGGGGAATCCTGGGCCTAATTATTATTGAATAATTCCACTTCAATCAGAAATGTATGTCTCTGTTTCAAAAAATGTAAGCTTTTTTTAATATAAAAAAGCTATTCTCCTCCTTGTATAAACAAATTATTATCATACCATTATTTTTTTTTTTGTTTTTATTTGTCGTTTTTTCTTGAGTGTTAGTTGAAATGTAAAACCAGCCACTGTGAAGTAATTTACCCTTAAATCTGAGAAAAGAATAAACATTTAAATTACTTCACATTGACTTGGTATCTCTCAATACAATTAATTTATGTTAGGTTAGTCTTGTTTTATTATCTATGATAATGTGATGAGCTTTCATTTTACATTTTCAATATGGAGTGAAAATTCTCATTGGGACAATGAATTTAGAATTGGGTTGAATATTTATGTAGGGAAAGTGAAGGTTAGGAACTTTGTATATTTTGTCATATCTACTTTTATACATGTACTGATGCCTTATATATTTGCTTGCTTAGGATTACGCTATCATGTACGGAAATAGCTTAACATGGATGGATGCCAGTTTAATGTATGTCACAGAAATCAAGACATACAAGCAGACTGGAAGTGACATTACTCAGCAATAGCAGGAACAACCATATGGATTGGTTGTGGTTGTATTGCTAATCCACCCAGAAAGCAGATTGCATCATCATCTGTATTTTTCTTCCTCAGGGTATTCTGTTTTCAACTCCTGAATGTTTAAAGGTTCCTCAGGATTTGGTAAAGCTATATTTACATGAATCCAGTCGTGTTTACCGTGACAAGATGGTTGATGACAAGGATTTGGTTGTTTTTGATAAAATGCAAGCAGAGGCAGTGAAGAAGTTCTGTGATGTAAGTCTTCAATCACTCACCAAAAACAAAATGAGTAATATGTGCACTGCAACAAAGCAAAGCTTATTTAACCATTATATGGTTCCTCCTCATCATCAAGAAGAAAGGTTGCACCATTTAGAAACATTTATAGTTTCCAAATTATTATGGGTGTTATGGGGCTTCCTGCTTCACGATCATAGGAACTGAAACTTTGGGTTAAGATAACCCTTTGAAATGTGTCTTCTAGGGCTGACAAACAACCATTACATATCAATGTAAAAGAGAAGTATATGATATGTATGGTCTGCAAGAAGGTTTGGGTGATGGGAAGATCCTAGGTCAGGGGTAGGCAACCTTGGCTCTTTTATGACTCGTGGACTTCAACTCCCAGAATTCCTGAGCCAGCCATGCTGGCTCAGGAATTCTGGGAGTTGAAGTCCACGAGTCATAAAAGAGCCAAGATTGCCTACCCCTGTCCTAGGTATTACATTTTATGTAACCTTCTCCCTAGAATTGAGAGGGAGAGAATTGTTTTATTTTTTCTCTTCTTAGGACATAGAGGAAACTTTGGAACAGACCAAGAAGATGAATATCTACTGCCATTTTGCAAAAGGGGTAGGGGAACCCAAATACATGCCTGTCCAGAACTGGGAATCACTGAGCCAGATTCTCGTGGAAGCTTTGGACAACCACAATGAAGTTAATGCTGCCATGAACCTGGTGCTGTTTGAAGATGCCATGTGCCACATGTAAGGGGAGTTTTGATTTTCAGATAATTGTGATTTTTTCTTAAATACTGTAGGTCCTGGGTAGTATCCACAGAAATAGGAACAATGGATGACCTTCTGCAAAGAAGTCCTGAATTCACTGTTTATACAGAGGATCTTAACTTGTTTTTCTCAATTGTTCAGCTATATAAGAGGAAGGCTCCATGATTTAGCAGAATACCAATTGCCTTCCATTGATTACTATCTTTCTAAGAAAGGGGTGCTGGGATCCATGCTTGCAAATGTAAATGAGGGCCAATGAAAACATTATTTTATGTAGTTGTGTTACCTGTCAACCCTTATCCCAGGATTTAAGGACTATGTTTCAGTTGTAAGTGGGTTTTGTCCAAGAAATAAATAGCCTAAGTTGGTTTTGAGCGCATGTACTTCAACTTATTCTCTCATCTGTTACAAAATACTTCTTCCATTAGAAACAAGGGCAAAGGGCAAGTTGACTGTTTCTCCAACTCCCGGCAGCAAATTCAGTCATGCTCACAAAAGCAAACAATACACACGGTCCTTACTTCTTGCTGCTTATATCTTTCTGTTGGAAGTGAGGCATCCCTTCACTTCCCACGCCAGAGAACCTTGCAATTTAATACAATTGCACTGCTGTGCATGTTACAGGGCTTTTATTCTATTTGGTTACTAGCAAGTACCTTATTCCATCTTCAGTAGTTCAATGTCAGCCAGGTTGTATTAGGACCTGGTATTCAGTGTTCAGAAGCAGGTCCCCACAGTGAATTTGCATGCTAGGCTTATAAAATAAAATTTTCTTTCAGAGACTCTCTGCCTAGTGCTGAGGCACCAGCTCTATTCTTTCTAATACACTTGTTCTCCTTTGAAGAGCAGACAATGTGACTGAGAACCAATTTGCTTAACTCTTTATGGGACTAAATTTTCAATCTGGGCAAAAGAGGGTTTGGACTTTTCATCTGCCCAAATTAAAAGTGATCTCATCTCTATCTTATTTGTTTTTCTGTCGCTCTGTCATCTATCTGTATCTATCTATCCATCTATCAAAACTTTAGGTAGCAAAGGAAGAGTGAATAACATAATAATTGTAAAACAAACCAACTCAAACTAAGGCCTTGTTGTTAAAAATCTCAGTGGACCCTCACCACAGGTCCCTATCTCAACACGAGAAACTAATTGCCTACCTCCAATGCCAGGCTTCATAGCTTTCCAAAAACCACTAAGCTTGGGGCTTTCTGTATCTCTGGGAGAGTCATCTCCATAGGATAGGTGCCATTAAAAAAAGCACATTTTTTAGCACCCACCAGGTGAAAGTGTGGAGACGACTCTACCAGATTTGTTGGGATGGGCAGAAACCATCAAGGAAAAGCAATCTTTCAAACAACTTGGCACCATGTTACGCAAAGATGAAAATCAGTACCTCGAATGGCACCCTGCTAGGAGATAATGCAGTTCATATAGAAATGAAGTTATGTGAGTATACTGTTATTGCCCAATACTACATGTGCTACTGCATCCTGGATCAGCTGAAGTATCTGAATTCTTTTCAAGGGCAGTCTCATGCAGATCTCATTGCATTAGTCCAGTCAGGAAGTGACTGTGGCACAAGTAACTTGAGTAATGCCTCTCAATCTAGGAGTGGCTCAACTAGTGCGCAAACTGTATTTGTGTAAAGACTTTTGGGGCCACAGCTGCCACCTGCCACAGTGTATGCTTCAATGAGAATGAATGATGGAAAATCATCAGATATGGGGAGTCCTAAAACCCATAGTTGCTCAGTCTTGTCAGGATTGGGTTGAAGCAGACACTGCAAAAACACTTTGACAGTAGAACTTGGATGGTCCAGGGCAGAAAGGTACAATTGAGTGTCATCAGTATACCAAGGAAACTTAACCCCATGCCAATAGATAACTTATCCAGTAGTTTCATTTAGATATTAATTAGGGCTGGGAAGAGAGTTGAAACTTGTGGCACCACACATAGCAGAAACCTAAGGCTAGACTTCCCTCCCCTCATTAACACATCTGGAAGGGGCCACAGAAGAAGGAGGAAAAGCACTGGAGAGCAATGCTACCAACTCCCAAACCCTTCAGTTGGCTTCAAAGGATATCATAACCAATGGTATGAAAAATTACTCAGAGATCAAGAAGGGAGAGAATGGGTAACTATTTCCATCCTGAGCATACTACAAGTATGATCAATGCTGTCTCGTTGTTGTATTTTGGCCTGAACCCCAACTGCAATGGGTTCAGGTAATCAGTCTTCTCCAGAATCCTTGGAAACTGCTGGTTGTCCTCTTCTTGAGCGTTTCTTGAGGACAGGGCTAACCATCATCTTCTTCAAGGCAGGCAGAACTACTCATTCTTGTAATGAGTCATTTTCCATTATTTGAACTCATCTATGTGTCACCCTGACTAGCCAGGAGAAACATGGATCAAACACATAGGTAATAGAACTCAACATTTGAAGAACCCCATCCACTTCCTCAGAAGTAATTGGGTCAAACTTAGTCCAGATAAGAGGACAAAACTGAATCCTAGATGATTCCAACCCAAAATGGATCTGAGTGACTTTATTTGTCAGATATTGGATCTAATCCTCACAAGAACCTTACAAGGGATTCTCCAATCTCTCCTTCTCCAGGCGGGACCAAGCCACCAAAGCCAGCTGCTGGACATTTATTTGCAGATCCATTTAATACAAGCAGAGCAAAATAGTATTTGGATTGAAAAGCAATGGCACTGAAGCAGTTGTAGTGATTTGGCCTCTGCTCATAGTCTGGAAAATCAACTGTGAGCATGCCCATCCATTTAAAATGTGCACAATGGTCTTTTTATAGGTTCCACATTAGGAAAGATTATTTATTTAAACAGAGAGGATCTTTTGGATAGCAGCTTCATGCTCCAGCATTCTTAGCCTAAGGAGACACATCAAAACCTATCTTTATAATATTTTCAGAATATGTAAAAATCTTTCTTATTCCTCTTCTAAAAACACACTTATTTAATGAATCTGTAAAAACAACCCACATTTCTGTATTTTCTGACTCAATTTCTATCTCATTGATAGCATTAGCCTATCTATAACATTTGGTTTTATTGTTTGTGTGTGAGTTTTGTTTTTCATGCTGGTTTATGCTGACCGGGAAGCTTCAGTTCATTAAAAAAACCTCCTTCAAAGTTCACATGGTGTGAACTGAATGTTAGACATAGAAGATATAGTAGATTTCTTCCTTTTTAAAGATTTTTATTATTTTTCATCATAAAAAAAAACATCACAAGTGTTACACAATGCTATA